AAGAGTACGTGAGTGCCCCGCGGCACCCCAAAACACCTCCCCCCCTGCCCCAGGCACTCTGGGGGTGCGGGGGATCCCCACTCTCTCACGCTGTCTCTTCCTCACCCAGGTGAACCGGACAAAGCCATCATCGATGATATGTGGCTGGGGGTGACGGTGGCCAGCCAGCGGCAGCCGGCGGGGAGGGTGCTGGTGAGTGCACGCGCGCCCCGATTCTTCGCACGCGCGCCCCGATTCTTCGCACGCGCATGTGCCGGGGCTGAGCCGCCGCCTCACACGACTGCGCGAGGGCACCAGGGAGCTGCTGGTGGTTTTCACATGGGTCTCGCGCGTGTCCCCGGCGCGGTGGCACCGGGCAGAGGCACCACAGGGCTTCCCCAGTCCCCTGGGACTGGGAGCTGTGGGGTGACGGGGTGTGCGGACCCCCTCTCCTGGCAGGGTGTGCTGGTGTGGATGGACTGAAGCTCTCCGGAGCATTTCGGGTGGCAGGACAGCATCATACCCTATAGACCGTCGTAGGTGGGGTAACTCTGGGTATGGGCTGCGTTAATGGCAGGGCAGCATCTGTATATACGACCTGACGCCAGGATGGGGGCAGAGGCAGCACAAAGGGGTAGGGGGTGGTGGCCCCTGATTTTTAGGGGTGCCACCAGACGCTGAAAGCAGATGCTGGGCTGTCCCGGCAGGCTTGCGCTCACCGTTACACCAAGGTGCTGTGGTCGGGCAGCGAGGACCAGCGGCGTATGGTGGGCAAGTGCTACGTGCGGGGCAACGACCTGCGCCTCAACATCAGCGACGAGTGGCAGACCTACCACAACGAGATGTGCAACTCCAACACGGACGCCGACGAGACCGGCATGTGCCAAATGGGCACCAGCGCCGGCTTCACCGCCAACATCATCTATTTCGGGGCGCCCGGTGCCTATAACTGGCAAGGTACGTGTGCCTGGGGAGGTGGGCAGGGGTGGGCAGCCCCCTTTCCCGGGGATGCCCGGTGCCTGTACGCCCACGGGGCATCCCCTCGTGTGTGGACATTGGAGCACGCACGTGCGCGCACGCTCGTGTGCGCTTATGTGCCCACATGCGCGTGGCGAGTGCGCACACACGCACCGGCGCGCGCGTGCACGTATTTGCGCGCTCGTGCGTGTGGATGTGCCTGAGCGTGCCCGACACGTATCGTCCGTGTGCTTATCTACACACCTACGCAAACCCTCCACGCGTGGGTGAGCGTGTCCGTGCATACGTGTCCGGCCGCATGCGTGCTCACATGCTTTGCGGGCGTGCAAGGGGAGCGGGTGCTGAGCTGGGGGTGAGGGGCTGCCCCCCCGCTGTGGGGTTAACCCCCCCCCCCCACCGTTGCAGGTACCGACTACATGCTGCAGCGGGAGATGTGGGACCTGCACGACTTCTCCTACCCCAACAAGAGGAGCGGCAATACCTATATAGGTGGGGGGGCAGCAGGGCAGGGGGCATCCCCCTTGGGGGGGGCGGATTTGGAGCAAGGAGGAGGTTTTGGGGGATGTGGATTTAGGGGGAACCTTGGGGGTGGATTTTAAAGGGGTGGGGGGTTTAGGGAGGCTTGGAGACCCCCCGTATTCCCCAGGGACGATGGGACCAGGGGTGTAGTGCTGACACCGTGGTGTTCCGGGGGGGCCGGAGGTGGTC